CCGGTATCTCGCCTATATCTAGAGATGCCTGAAACAACTTTGACAGAGGCCCCTGGAGCACCTCCGCTAGAGGTTTAACAATAGTCAGTCAGTCAGGCCAGGTCAGGTCAGGTTGCACAGGACTGATAGTGGCCACAGGCCAATCACGCGTCCAGAATTCCTTCGGTGGTATGCCAGCGAGTGTGCGTCCACCTCTGCGATTGATCAGTTTCTCCTTCTATCTGCAACAGAGAGAAAGAGAAACTTTACTTCTCGCCGCGTCGGCGAGAGACCTTTATTGTGAAGCGTTTCATATTTCACAAAAACAATTTACATACCTAACATTCTATGTCAGGGAAAACCTCCAACCATCTGGCGTCCAGAGCTCTTTTAAAAGCCTGGACGGTTGGCTGTCTAATCAGTTCCAATGGTAGCTTATTCCAGTTATCCACTACCCTATTGACAAAGAAGTGTGCTCTTAAGTTCAGTCTAGAACGCTGTTTCATGAGTTTGAGTTCATGTCCACGCGTTCCTTGGTGGGGTGCCTCAGTGAAGAAGGACCCCGGATCTAAACCCAGTAATTTTTTCTTAATCTTAAATACTTCGATGAGGTCTCCGCGCAACCTCCTTTTTTCTAGTGAAAAAAGACCGAGCGCGTACAACCTCTCTTTGTATGTTTTTCCTCGCATACCCTCAACCATCCGTGTTGCTAGTCTCTGGACCTTCTCCAGACAGGCTGCGTCCTTTTTGTAGAAGGGCGACCAAGCCTGAACACAGTATTCTAGGTGAGGCCTTACGATGGCTTTGTAAATGGGAATAAATACATCTGCTTTTCTACACGAAACTGCTGACCTTAGTCTAAACAGCTGTCGTCTCGCCATGTGTGCTGCAGCTTCACATTGGGTACCCCAACTGTAATCTGCAGTTACTATGACTCCTAGATCCCTGGCACTAGTTACAGTGCCTACTTCGAATTGCCCCCAATCACCCAACGCCTTCAATGGTTCCTGGGTTCTTGAGAGCAACTGGCTCTTAGCTGCATTTAGTGGTAGATCCCATATGTGGGACCACTGGACCACCTTCGCAGTATCTTCTTCTAATTGTGATCTTCCATTTGATCCAACCACCTTCACATCATCAGCGAAGATAAAGCAAGTTGAGCTGGTAATCTCTGCTAGATCATTTATGAACAGCAGAAAAAGAAGCGGGCCCAACACAGACCCTTGTGGCACGCCACTAGTGACATGGAGGACTGTTGACATTTGCTCTCCTACCCTGACGCAGAATGTCCTATTGGTCAAAAATGCCGCCATCCAATCAGTCAGGTTGCACAGGACAGGAGATGGCCACGACCAATCGAACGTCCAGATTTCCTCCGATAGTAAGCCCCCTTCCGGCCCCTACCACTGCGAGTGTTCTAAATTGCAGTTCTACACGTTTTCTTCACGTCTCAGTTGTCTCCGTCTCAGCAAGGGAAGAGGGTAAAGAAAAAGCATCTTCTCCCCTTGTTCAGGCGAGAAACCTCACGTTTGGAAGCGTTCCCCAGATGGGGGTGGTTAGCAAACCTGTTTCCAGGTTTTAACCTATGCGTCTATTTCGGGAACTAAAGTCAGCCAGCGCTTATCGAGCTCCTTCTTGAAAGTATATACGCTCCCTAGCTCTACCAGCTCCGGCGGCAACTTATTCCAAGCGTTGACTACCCTGTTGCTGAAGAAGTTCGAACGCACCCCTAGTCTCGTGCGCAATTGCTTCAGCTTGTACATGTGCCCCCCAGTATTGCTTTGCATTCTCTCGAAGAACACCTCTTG